CATCCCGCCTCCACCCCCCCTCCATCCCCCGTTGTTGTGTTGTTGTTTGTTTTTGTTTGTTTTTATTTGGCAACAGTGTAGTCACTGTCAAGTAAACGTATGAAAGAGTCAGCGAATCGAAATAACTCATTTTATTATTAGCAGGATGACCAGTAAAAAAGACACAATTGTGGAGGATATGTTTGACCTTTGCACATACATCTTGTGACTTTTTGTTCAGGTTTCTGTGAGTATAAGGGACAGCAATACCAAACTGGAAACAAGTGGATTGACGGCTGTGACTTTAACTGCGAATGCCTGGACCAAATTGCAGGAGTGTACTCCTGTTCACAAAGGTGGGCGTTGTTGTCGTCGTTGTCGTCAATATCACCATCACCACCACCACCACCATCACCATCATCATCATCATCATCATCATCATCATCATCATCATCATCATCATCATCCTCATTATCCCCACCACCACCATCAACAGCATTGTTTTTGTACAGTAGAAAAATATGCAATGGAGTTTAGAATACAATACCAGTGGCCGAGTTGTAAGTCAGTTCAGTTTTTGGCAACAGTAAGGCCAAGTATAATAATATGTGTATTACACAGTGTTTAGATGGGTGGTCTCTGGGATGTTTCGTTGAGCTTGACACAATAACCCTGGCTCAAAAGCAAGGGGTGTCTTTTGTTACGTATCTAAAATTAAATTATTGAGTGTCCAAATACAGGACCCTGCACTGTGGCAACTGGCAGGGGCGTGTTGTATGTCTGTTTGTGTAATAACGTGTATTGTGTGACGTCAATCAATTGTTGTATGTATGATTTTGAATTGTTATGAATGCCTTTCATTCCCTCTGTTGTTTCTGTATAGGTGTGTCTGCTTCTTTTTACCCTTCTCCATATGACTGTTACAGTGTCTATATGTTTACTCACACAATCAAAGGAAATAAAGGAAATATTTGTATGAAAATCACTGAAAGCCAAACTCCCAGCAGGAATCAACTAAAGGGGTATTATTTATGTAGTTATGCATTTATTCAGTTCGTTAGTTCATTCGTTCGTTCATCGTTCATTCGTTAGTTAGTTAGTTAGTTAGTTAGTTAGTTAGTGAGTTATTTACTTAATCAGTGAGTGAGTTAGTTAGTTAGTTAGTTAGTTAGTTAGTTAGTTAGTTAGTTAGTTAGTTAGTTAGTTAGTTAGTTAGTTAGTTAGTTAGTTAGTTAGCTTGTTTTTGTTTTATTTATTTATTTGTTTTAAATGTCTTCCTCCTGTTCCCAGGTGCTCTCCGTACCCCAATATCCCATCATACTGCATTCTGGTCCAGGACCCCAAGGACCAGTGCTGTGAAGTGCCTTATTGCCCAGGCGCTGCCACGCTCTCCCCCAACCCTAACCAATCCATAACCCCACCCATTAACCCGTCACTTACTACCAAGCCTACGGCCACGCCCTATCCCACTCTGTTCCCGGCCCTGGCAACCACTTTGAAACCGCCCCCTGGAGGAGTTCCCACAAAAGGTAAGCTGCGGCCGCCTACGAGATAGTTCCGTGATAATTGTTTATCATGTATTCAGCTGAAACGTAAAGGAAACACGAGGAAGAGGAAGATGAAACATGAATTTACAAACCAAAAAAAAAACGTTTTGAGAATACCATTTACTTTTGAATCCATCGGCATGATCGAAATTGCACAGTAATGATCCTCAAATTACAGCTTTAAAACCACAAGTCACTGTTATTTTAAATTGTGTCTGGGTATGGCCTCGTGTGCATAGTGTTCCAGGCGTGTTGGGATTGATTGTTTGAAAGCAAAAAGAATTCGGGGGAGAGGGGGGGTGGGAAGCAGCATTTATCTCAGGTAGGCAGAGTACTACTACCTTTTTTTTCTCCTGTTCTTATCCACAACTGTTGTTCTTTCCATGAGCGACTAGTTGTGTTTTGGTAAGTGTACGTGACTACAGTCTTTTCTGACAAAAATAGCTTTGATGGACAAAATGAACAAGATCAAAACAGACATAGGGACCTAGGGAAGAGCTGTAAACTGTGACTCATGCTTTCCCCCCACCCCCATACTTTTTAAATAATCTAAGTCCCATCGACGCAGTTAAGACTCTTTAGTGCCAACCTAAGGCTCAGTGAGAAACAACATTCCAGCAACCAGCCGCTTAGTTACAACAATATCAACTGATAAGCAGCAAAAGCGGTAACAATAGCTTCCACTTTAAGTAACGATATAAAAGAAATCCTCTACTCAAGAATCGAATTCACGTCTGCTGATTGCGACATTTTTGGGCTTATTAAGGTTCAAGGAGTGTCCAAGGCATTCTCCTAACTAAAAATGTTCAATTCAGAGAATGTGTAAAATAATAATTGTAAAAGTACATTTTTAACGTCCACTCTTAAACTTAAAGTAAGTTAAAAGTATCTTTCGAGCATGACGACATGGCGACAAGAATGTGCTCCCACGGACATTGGAGATCACTGATATGTGTACACAATAAAGTAAGCTCCAAATGAAGGGTTAGAGTTATTTCATACTTGGCCTTGTGGGTATCACACAGCAAACCAGGGCCAGGCCGGCCGGTAAGCTTAGAATAGATCTAGATAGTCAAGTATTTTAAAAATTTGAAAATTCAAAACGTCATAGATCTACTTATCACTCTAATGTTAAATCAACACTGGTGTATAAACTGTCCGTTTGGAATGATAAATCTAGGTTTCGTTCAAGTTTTACCGATGAAACAAATCAAATTGTATGAAGTAAACATCTGAGATTCATAATGGCGGCCGCTTTGTGATGGTGCACAATAGCAAAGACGACGTGGAACGTTATTAATAAATATAGTGCACATCGGGTAACAAAAATTTAAGCAACTATATAATTTACACGCCTTAAACACTACTCACCAGCTATTTAGGAAAATGGGCTTCTCGAAAACCAAACCAACCCAGATGCAAAAACTACATTGTTGTTCAGGTTGAATTTCGTAGTCGCAATCAGATGACGTGAGTTAGATTCCCGAGGAGGGACGTCTTTAAAATCGAATATCTCCGTTTGTCTACTGGGACGTTGTATCCAACTCATCCCTGTTTCATCTTCAGTGATTGGCGAGACCGAAACATCCTGCCTCCTATACTATCTGCATTGTCATTGGGAACGTAAAACAATATATACAAACATGTGTTGTGTTATTGTTGAATATAATAGCTCCTACTCTTGACATCGCCAGACACTGATTGACGAATAATTATTATCAGTAGTAGTAGTAGTAGTAGTAGTAGTAGTAGTAGTAGTAGTAGTAGTAGTAGTAATATCATCATCATCATCATCATCATCATCATCATCATCAATATCATCATCATCATCATAATGTAATGCTTCCTTTCCGCCTTCCTTGCCCCTCCCCCCAAAGACGTGTGCGTGTACATGGGCAAGTCTTACACGCAGGGCCAGCGCTGGGACGTCGGCTGTGACAAGGTATGCGTCTGTGAGGACGGCAAGACAGGAGGGTACAGCTGCACAGACAGGTGAGTGCCCCGAGAAGTTTCAGGTTCACTCCCAAGCCCCTTTCCACTTTCTTTCACGGCTGTTTCACACCGGTTTTTTTTTATTTTATAGATGTTAAAGTCATTTTCACACCCCGTCCATTCGAATTTGACGAGGCACTTCGAGTCAATTTTACTCCCTTAGAGCCATCTTCACGTCACTACGTCACTTCACGTGGCTTCACGTGACTTCACGTTACTTCTTGTCACTTTGTGTGATTTCACATCACTACGTCACATCACGTCATTTTACGTTATCTTAACTTCACTGTAACACCATTTCCCAATCTTTTTGTCATTAGATTACATTTACCGACGAGACCGCATGATATGAGTGGTCGGGAAGGGGAGGGGGGATGATCTGGAGCCCCTTTGGTCCCATCTTAACATACAGGGTGTACATTCGGGCCTTTCGCAACGAAATGTGCCACCTTGTTTCTTTAAATTTGGTTCTTCTAATGAGTAGAGACAGTAAAGACAAATGTTTTTATGATAAGTATTGTCTTACCCATACGTTCATTTTGATAGAAAACCCATTGTTTACTGTGAATTTGGTTCAGCTCCATAAATGCCCAAAAGTAAATCATACAGGATAGGATATTTAGCTACGAAACAAGGTCGTGAACTTTCTTTTGAGCCTTTCATTTTTCTTCATGTTAATGTGAAACACGCAGAAAAGGTATAGGCTTCTCCTTTGTTTGCTCCGTAGGTGCCCTGTGTATCCAAACATGAGGTCAGGAACGTCGTAAGTATTTTGTTTTTCCCTTCGGTGTATTTACTAGGCTCACATTCAGTACATTGTGTTAACCACAGCCGCCTAACCAGGGAGTCAGTTGCAATGACAATAACATGCATAATAATTATTATTATGTATCTTACAGGAATGCTAACTTCAAAAGCAACACACTAGATCCATCTGTCTTCTTTTCCTTCAGTCCTCCCTCTCTTTTCCTTTCTCTCTCTCTCCCTCTTTCTCGACCTTTCTCTCTTTCTTTCTTTCTCTCTCTCTCTCTATCTCTTTCTTTCTTTCTCTCTCTCTCTATCTCTCTCTCCTTCTCTCTCTCTCTCTCTCTCTCT